CTTTACATACGTTCTTCCACATTCTCCCCCTTTTTGATGATGACAACATACTGTAGATGGAAAGAAACATAAAACAGTGTATATCGATCACTCCCCCTTAGTCTTCCCCTTAATAAATCATTGTTTGATGTTAATTTTATATTATAAAATTTTTTTGACTTTAAATAGACAGTTGTAGTGATCAGGTTAAATTGTTCAATTCAAAATATCCAATATTTGATCAGGGCCCTTTTATTCTTTCCTTTCCTCTCCCCCTTTGGCAACATCAAAAGGAATGAGACAATATAAAAAATATAGAATGAGATAAACAAACACCATTCAGTACCAAAAGTCAAATATGTTCCTATAGCAAAATAGTCAGAGTCAAAGGTGCAGAGTTATCCTAGATTAGCAAAATATGTCCTAATCAAAAAGTTCAGAATTTGATTAAAAATAGTCCAAAACAGAAGATAAACTAAGAAAACAACTAACAGAGTCACAGTCAACTAGATACTCGGAAGGACATCTAAGAGATTTTACTTCCTCCTCAAGACGAGTCATGCGAGTGTCAAGAGAATCAAAACGTTCACCAACATAGAACCGGAGATCTCTAATTTCATTGAGAACATCCGAGAGAAGTGCTGATGAAGGATCTTGAGGAGGTGGTGACGGAGTTCTATCATCAATGTCTACTGCTTGAAAATCCCGCTTGCGGACCCAGGTGTTTTCTAGTATTTTCTTGTACCCAAAAGAAGCAATTGCAGATGCCCCAATCTCAAAGAACCTCTTAACTGGAACCCATGTTTCATCTTCCAAAGGAACATTAAAATGTTCCAAAATAGTAGTTACAAAATGTGGGTATGGAAGAGAAGCATTAACCCGCAAGGCCTTCTTCATTCGACTCCTAATCAGATGAGCCCAACTAAATTCCCGGCCAGTGATTAGAGCCCATATCAAAATTAAGTCCTCCTCTGAAGCCTGTGCAAGATTAGTCGTGCGGGGAAGCAGTACCAGAACAATTATGTAATGCATGATTCTATAATCAAATTTTATTGATCCAGCCAATATTCTTCCAGTCATGTCAGCATTATCCACACAAATCATACTTCGGGCATTGGGATGGAATATTCTGGTTTCCATGTATCCGGAATGGTTCCCTCAAACAGAGTACCCTGATCTTTTAATTTTGATAAATCACAGAACACAGACTGATTTATCACTATTGGAATTTTTTTAACTTCACTGTGAAGGACTCCATCCCTGATTTCCAAATTACTGTAAAAGGCCTTGACTAATTCTGGATAAACAGGGTTTTTCATAGCCATAAAATCTACTAACCCAGAATTCTTAAAAATCGTATAACACTCAAATGATTCATCCTCAAAAAAAATCAATACTGATATATTTGGGATCAACAATATTTCTTTCAGAAAATAACTGGTAGTACCTATCTTGTTGTTCGTCTGTGGAGAACAGAGCGAGAGCACGTCCAGTGTATGGAATGGGATTCGTAGGAGTAGGGGCATCGTCGGAGGGAGGCTGTTGGCGGCATCTGGCGGTGGTTGGACGTGACGAAGAACCCTTATGACGCTTTGATGAATCCGCCATTTGAGTGATTGTTTTGAAAAATACAATCGGTAGAATTGAAGAGAATTGAAAATGAAGAAGAAAAGAACAAACGGGACTTGATTTCGTTAAGATTTGAGAAAGATATGAAGATTTGAAAATGTTAGGGCGCGGAGGGTTTTGGGGATTTTTCGTGAGGAAGAAGACGAACTGCACGAATATAAGTGCAGATACGTCGTGTAATCGATTACACGCATATGGTAATCGATTACACGTTTCCAGATTTGTGCATTTTCGCTACTGGTAATCGATTACACAAACTGATAATCGATTACATGTGTGCCAGAACAAGCAAATACGCTCTGGTAATCGATTACTTGACAATGTAATCGATTACAATTGTTCAAATTTTCAAAACATTTATATATTCCCTCTGGTAATCGATTACCTTATCCTGTAATCGATTACAATTCTTAAAATTGTAACTTTTTCCTATAGAATCAAAAAGTAATGTGAGAATAGTCTAGAATCTCCAATTCTTGTCTAATTGAAAAGAAGTTTTCTTTTGGTAAGGGCTTTGTGAATATATCAGCTAATTGACTCTTTGTTTCAACAAATTCTAGAACACAATCTCCTTTTTGAACATGATCTCTAAGAAAATGATGTCTTATTTCAATATGCTTTGTTCTAGAATGAAGAACTGGATTTTTAGAGAGATTGATAGCACTAGTATTATCACACTTAATTGGAATATGATCTAATAATAAGCCATAATCAGATAGTTGTTGTTTCATCCATAGTATTTGTGCACAACAACTTCCAGCAGCAATATATTCTGCTTCAGCAGTAGATAAAGCAACACTATTTTGCTTTTTACTATGCCATGATACTAAAGCGGATCCAATAAAATGGCATGTTCCACTAGTACTCTTTCTATCAGTTTTACACCCAGCAAAATCAGAATCGGAGTAACCTACTAGATTGAAAGGCATGTTTTTAGGATACCATAGACCTAGATTTTGGGTTCCTAACAGATATCTCATAATTCTTTTAACAGCACTCAAATGAGATTCTTTAGGGTTAGATTGGTATCTAGCACATAAACAAACACTGAACATAATATCAGGTCTACTTGCAGATAAATATAAGAGAGATCCAATCATACCTCTATATTTCTTTACGTCTATGGATTTTCCCACTTCATCTTTGTCAAGGTAGCAAGTAGTGCTCATTGGTGTTGCCATTGATTTAGCATTCTCCATTCCAAACCTTTTGAGCAATTCTTTACAGTATTTGCTTTGATTAATAAAAATTCCATTTTTGGTTTGCCTTATTTGTAGTCCAAGGAAAAAATTTAGTTCTCCCATCATGGACATTTCAAATTCACTTTGCATATCACTTGAAAATTCCTTGCACAAGTAGTCATTAGTAGCTCCAAAAATAATATCATCAACATAGATTTGCACTAAAAGGATGTCATTCATTTTTCTTTTGATAAAGAGTGTAGTATCAACTTTTCCCCTTGTAAATTCTTTTTCCAAAAGAAATTTACTATTTTAAAAATTAGTTAATGTATAAATAAATATTTAATTTCTATTTTAATAGTTTATTTGTTTCTATTATAAATGTGGTATATTTTTTATGATGATTAATAAATTTTGTAATATTTGTGTTTGATAATTTATTAAAAGAAAATAAAATAAAATCATAAATATTTTTAATATATTATAATCAATAAAATTAAGATTTCAAACAACATATGAAATTGTTAAAATTGACTTTAAATGAAAATAACATGAAAAACAAAATGAAAGGTACAATAATGAAACATTTTGAAGGAATTGTTGTTGCTGATTAGAAGCTTCCAATCGATAAGGATATTTTTCTTGGTATGAGCTGGATTCTTACACATGAAACATCTTTTTGGTTGTTTAGGTTCCCTCATGTCGATTTCTATACTTATATGCGAGGATTTTGGATGATCCTTTTTTATTTCTTTTCATATTTAGATTGAGATAGATATGTGGTCATCATATTGTAGCCAACACTTTGGTAAATATATTTTAATATATCATATTTGGTGATTTTTTTCTTCATAATATTATAATAAAAAAGTCTACAAGTAGGATCAATTTGAGTAGGGGTGGACATGGATTGGATCAAATTGGATTTGAAACATTTTTCATCCAATCCGATCAATTTTAATTGAATTGTATTGGTTTGATTTTTTTATTTTTCAGTCTCAAATTTGTACTAATCTAATCCAAATATATTTGATTTGAATTGGACTAATTCATTATATTTTTTCATAAAATAAAATTACATTAAATTTATAAAATATATTTTCATGTCATCAACTAATAAAACATCTAATGTTATAAATTAACATTACAAAACACTACTAAACAATTAAAAATTACAAATTTTAAGAATAATAAACATCATTAAATTAAAACTAAAATATACACAATCTTATAATCTATAAATCCATCATATATCATATTCAATAATACAAACTTAACAAAATATTACAAATATTATAATCAACACAACAAAAACTCAAATATCTAATAAGTACTTAACTTTTATAAATAAAACATAAAATTTGAGTGTTATTTTAGTCATTTGATACTAAATATACGTGTCAAATTTAAATTCAAATTAAAAAAAAAAAAAAAAAGTACGTTGAATAAGGTTATCTCTTTTATGTCTTTTATTATTAGTCCAAAATTGATAAATCAAAATAAATTTAATTAATTAATAACAATAAACGGTGTGAGTGTAAATTACAACTGAACTGAGTAAAAGCATGTCCCAAAATTAGGGACGCGGCCAGTTGACGCCTGGAATCTGCGGTTGTAGATCGGACACTGGACACTGTTCCTTTCAGCATCATAGCGCAATGGCCAATTCCTCCGCTACCGTCTCCGTCATAAGGCGAATCACCCACGTCGTTTTTGACATGGACGGTCTCCTTCTCGGTATTTTTTCATCTTTCTTCAACCACGCTATCCCACATTGTCGTTTAACAACGCTTAAATCCTTACTACTTACCCTCTTTTCTCTGTGATTGTTGTGTTGGCCTCTGTTGCAGACACTGAGAAGTTCTACACTCAAGTCCAGGAACTCATACTCGCTAGGTTCAACAAAACCTTTGATTGGAGCCTTAAGGCAAAGATGATGGGGAAGAAGGCAATAGAAGCTGCTAGGGTCTTTGTTGAAGAGACCGGAATTAGTGATTCTCTCAGTGCTGAGCAGTTTCTCGTAGAAAGAGAGGAAATGCTGCGAACCTTGTTTCCGACTAGTGAGCTTATGCCAGGTACGTCGATTGTAGACCCTTGTCTAATTAACATAAAGGTTAACGAATCTTGTAGCTATAAACTATGGCCATGCCCAATTGAAACTGGAACTGACACTCCAGACGTGATGGGAGGATCTTTAAACTTGCACACTGAAATTGAAGGCTTTAACAGTAGTACATGATGCAAAAAGGGCACGAGTTGATATGTTTTTATATATGTATCACATGCATATGCTTGGCTTGGTCTAACTTCTAAACATTAATTGTTGATAAAGGTGGTGATCTGTTTATTTGTCAAGGGTTGCTGAACTTTTATTTCGTTTTTATGTACCAGCATGAATTACTAACCAGTAACTAGAAGTCTAGAAGTTTTAAAGCACATAAATTTGTCTTATCATCATCACCTATTCCTTATGTCCTATGAACCGTCCAACGCACCCTTAAAGGATAAACAGCTTTTAGAAAACAGAGTTTGTTAGCCACAAGTAAGTTCCCTTCTTATATAGGTTAGCAACAGTAAAATATATGTAGATAATAAAAAGGAGAAAGAAGTGACTCACCGTTTTCACACTGGTTTGCACCACTAAACAAGACTACATTCAAACTTTGGCTCATCACCAAGATTTTACTATCGGCAAAAGGTTACAAACAATGTTCCCTAACACCCAAGTATTCTTTATTCTTGTCTCTTCAGGAAGTTTTTTCTGAGTATAATTTTTTTTTGCAAGACTTTTCAGGCTTCACACACCAAAAGTTAATACAAGAAAAAATAACTTAAGACTGCCGTCTGTTTAGGAACAACTATAACAAACAAGATAGTCTGTTGGTGGAGTACTCAAGTTGCTAGCTTTTAAGGGAGGGTTTCCTAGTGCTTGGATGCCTATCAAATTTCCCCATCCTCTTTTTTAGATCTGTCACTTTTTTGTTGGAGTAAATATGTAAAAATTATCAGTTGTTTTTATTCATTTCACACCCTTTCAGTTTGATTATTTCACTTCTCTTTTTTCATTCTTTGATCAGTTAAGCTGTTGTTTTGTGATGCATAAAAGTTCATAATTGGTTGTCACCTTGCAGAGTGTTGAACCATTGAACTTGTGATCATTCCTTGCTTAATGTCTGCATCCCTTTTCATTTCTTTTTGCTAAGATTTGATTTAATGTTAACAAGTCTGTGTTCTAAAACAATACAGTGAGCATCTTCCATCCTTTCTTTATATACACATGATGAAAACCTGAAAAGATTCATCTCAAAATGGATCTACCATGAGATTGAGAAGAAATTATATGGACACATTCAGCAAATCAGCCTAGTTATATATGTAGAACATCAGAACTCGTTACTTCTCAGTGTAGTTATGAACTTTGAACTCATAAAATTCTCCTAGAATGTATTTCTACCATGATTTTCTGGCTGGTTATTATGTATACTATTGATAAAAACTTTCAACTATTGAAGATTTGATCTTCTTGCGAGGCATGGGTTCTCAAAGGGGTTCCCCATCCCATCCCCTCCACCCACATGCTGCTTAAATTTTATGTCATTGAACTGTAAGCGTAGACCTCAGACTCAAACTCAGAAACTGCCTTACGCTTGTTTAAAGATTGTTACCTAAACTAGTTATGTTATTGTGAAAGTCCTAATCTGCACCTTTTTTTTTTTTTTTTTTTTTTTTTTACTGATACTTAATATTTTTTGGGAGTTGGGACTAGTATTGAATAGTTTGTAGTGTAAATAGTAAGCTTGTCAAACTCAATAGACTTAGTAGATATATAAAAACTTGAATATACAAAATCTGTTTTATATGCAGTTATGCACTACAATTTTTTTTACATATTGATGTCCTTCTGTGCCATTTTTATCTATCATAGGTGCTAGCCATTTAGTCAACCATTTACATGCGAGTGGAGTTCCAATTTGCGTGGCAACTGGGTACTCTTCGACCATTTTTTTATCTATATTTTTTTTAATGTTTTTTACCTTTTTTTTAGGGGGGGGTGGTAAAAAGAAAATATTTATTTCCTGTTTCTCATCTATTCTGAAATTTGAAGGATTTTTGATGCAAAGTTGTTTTGACAATTGCCCTACAGTTCTCACAGGCGACATTTTGAATTGAAAACTCAAAGACATCATGAACTCAAAGCCTTCCCTAGATGGATTTCTTGCTGCAGCCAAGAGATTTGAGGTATACTACCAATTAATGAATGTGGTGCACTTGTTGACAATTTCTGCAGAATAAAGGATTAAAGATGCCTTCTTTTCCTACTTTCAATTTGAGTTTGAATTTGGGTTCATTTTATTGTATTTCTGACTTGTCAAGTTTGCAATCAGACATATTGATGTTGTAGTTAATGATGATTGTCAACAGGGTGGACCTGTAGATCCTTGTAACATTCTTGTTTTTGAAGATGCGCCCTCAGGAGTTCTCGCAGCTAAGAATGCAGGAATGTAAGTGGGTTGAAGCATTGAATGATATCTTTATTTTCATATTTTAAAATTTGAATGTAGCAGGCTATGGTTTCCAAAATGTCTCGGCATTTAGTAGAATGGGTGGATTATTTAGTGCTAGATCTATCAGTTTCAGACCCTGCATTATTACTTGCACGTTATGTAGTATATAAAATATATGCATCAGCAATTCGCTGATCTAGAATTGATGAAATCTTTGCATTCTTTAATCAGAACAATTTCTTCCACCTAACAGTTATGACAGATTGCATCATTTTAATGTTTATATGTTCAGTAGGCTCCTTTGTTTCTCTCTCTCCCTTGTATGTGGAGTGCATGACTCTGCTGATATAATAGTATGTTTATTACATATGCATGTTTGAGGCCTTAGAAACTGTGACATACGAATATCTGAAGCTGGGTAATGGATTCCACTCTCTTGTATGTTCTTGCAATTGCTAAATTTGAATCTCAACTAATTTTAAGCTGCAATTGATTTTGTTTTAGAAGTCAGATAGTTAGTGAAAGAACTGTGTAGTCTGATTGCTTGTCACAATTTACACGTTACAAAAATGAAGGTTCCTGTCATTTCTGTAACCTTTTATCTGTATCGATTAAATTTAATATTTACTAAATTATATACTATGGTTAACCTCCAGGATTCAAGGGTGATTGAGTTTTTACTCTAAAAAAATTATATTACACTATTTAGTTCACTGAAGGATAGAAATTAGCCCAGAGATTGTCAGACGGCTCAAGACTGGAGCTAATTCACAAATTAGTTGTGGATCTCATAACTTTCATCACAATCATAGAGAGCTATCACTCTATCAGTCTGGCTCTGACTCATGAGCAAGTATATATGATATAATTTGAAATTTGAATAGGGTAAAGCATTAAGTGACAAAACTCTATAGGTAACTAAAAATGAATACAATGATTTGTTCGGTCATGATGTCAAGCTAAGAAGGCATTAGTGTAGTCCCTTATACTACCCAGTCGTGATGATATTTAGTTATCTACCCGTTCCTATTTCTTACCAATTAGTTGCATGTTATTTTGATTAAGCATTTGGAGTATTATCTTCAATTTCTTTATATTTTCTGGTAAATGTCATGCAGGTCTGTTGTTATGGTCCCTGATCCAAGGCTGGACAAATCTTTTCATGAAGCAGCAGACCAAGTTTTGAACTCACTGTTGGATTTCAACCCTAGTGAGTGGGGTTTACCTCCGTTTGAAGATAACGGAAGCTAGCTGAACTTGGGTTTCACTTACTGTCAGTACTTTTTTACTGCAGACAGAAAAGGCTGCATATTTATTGTACAACTAATCTATGAGTAATTTATCCATTTCCATATATTACCGGTCACATATTTTGACCTTTATACTATTATTGGTTTATTACTACAATGAATGTGGACTTGTAAGATCTTACAGATTCGATATATTGTTTAAATATTTCTCTCCTGGCATGAAACGTAAAACGTGATTGATTCTGTTTGTTTAAACAGTAATTTTCCGTTATGATTCACTACCAAAATCAAATAGACAGTGAAATTATTTTGGTTCAGTTAAACCCGATTGAGTTAACCAGTTCTTCTAACAAACTATTTAATATTCACACATTTCATACATGCAAAATTGTCCAATAAAAATTTCCTTAAAAAAAATTGATCAATAGCTTATATAACATTATTTTTGTTTATTTTTCTCCATAATAAATGAAGTAATAGAGAAAGATGAATACAAAATGATGTTGTATAACTTAAAAAAAATTGATCAATAGCTTATATAACATTATTTTTGTTTATTTTTCTCCATAATAAATGAAGTAATAGAGAAAGATGAATACAAAATGATGTTGTATAAGAGTATCTACAATGAGAGTTGCTTATAAATGGGTTCCACTGTGCCACGTCACTCATAAGCAACTCATACTATATTTTTACAATTTTTGCTCCAATGGGAATTGTTTATAAGCACCCTTACTTTTTTACAACTCATACTACACTTTTTGACACCTCACACTACATTTTATGATATTTTTATAAAATTATTATAAATAATATATAAATATAAATAATTAACAAAACAAATTACATAATTAAAAAAATTACAATAATAAAAAAATACCAAAAATTACAATAATAAAAATTACAATTAAAAAATTACAATAATAAAATAATATTAAAAATTACAATAATAAATTACAATAATCAAAAAATTGCAACGGCTCTTTCTCATTTTTCTTTTTGACGCACATCTCTCACACATCTCATTCTTTTTCTCCTCAGTCTCTCTTTCTCTCAAACTCTCAAAGGAACGTCTCTCTTTCTCTCTATTTGCTGAGCCACGCACGCGGGGGAGGGGGTTCCGGTCGGCAGCCGCGCGCAGGGGGAGGGGGTCTGGTGGGAGCTGCGCGCATGGGGGAAGGAGGTCCAGTCGGGAGCTGCGCACGGGGTGGGGGTCCACTCGGAGCCGCGCGCGAGGGAAGGAGGTCTGGTCGAGAGTTGCGCGCGGGGAGGGTGGTCCGTCGTGCGTAGGAGACGAAGATGAAGTGAACACGTTTTTTCAGTTTTTTTTATTTTCTTAAATCTGATCCACATAGATGCATTTTAGCCAATGAAATTTCTCTCCTCAATGCTAAGCAACGTCCCTTATACAAGCAACACAGAAAAATTTTTAAGCAACTCAAGTACCACGTAAGATCACTCCAATGAGAGTTTTTAATAAGTTCCGTTGTTTATTTTTAATACACAGCACAAGCACCCTCCGCTGGAGGTGCTCTAAGATATTAGTATAATTTTGTTGGGCATGTAACAAATTTTTTTTTTTGTTAGTGTTTATATCCAGTTTATGCTATTGGATGTGAATTATCTTTGTAACCTCGTTTTATTCAACTAGTTGGTTAAACTGCCTCGGAGTTTGAAATGGTTCACCTTGTGGGATTGTGTAATGCACAATTCGTTAGCATTTGCTTAAGAATGTGCCTTCATTAAAGAACAATAAAAGGTAATAACCGTTTCCTTGTTGATAAAAAGAAGGGGAGGAGACAAAGAAAGGGTGACATAGTTGTTAGCATTTGCTTAAGAATGCGCCTTCATTAAATAGCAATAAAAGGTAATAATTGTTTCCTTGTTGATAAAAAAGAAGAAGGGGAAACAAGGAAAGGGGGACATAGTTTTTGGCATAACTTAGAGAGTTTATTTGAATATAAGTCTAAAAATATTTGTGAGAATTTTTCTACCAAAAAATATTCTTTATTTTAGCACAAAAGTTGTTAAAAGCGTTATTAACTTGCATCTAAACAAGTTTTTAATATTATATTTTCTTTATGCAGTTTTAGATTTAATTTGAATGTCAGAGTGTTTTTTTTTTTACAAATTTATTTCTCTCTACGGTGGATTGAAGATGAGCATTGAGGAGCTATTGACATTTCGGAACAAGGTACTTTTCATCAAATATGCTTAGTTATTGTAGTGTCTAGACTACTAATAAATTTCCAAATAAATCAAAGTTATTAGTTTTTGTCCATATACATGGTCTATGTAGTGTTTGAAGTTAACAATTAAGAACTAATCTATACTCACATGATATGGTATCCGCTGACCAAGTTTTTAGTTTATTTATAATTAAAATAATTTTTAATCCTTATAATTTTACTTAATTTATCTTTTAGTCTCTACAATTTAAAATTGATCTTTTTAATTCATATGCTTGTAATTCTTTTAATCATTTTAGTCTTTTATTAGTTTTATTTTTGTAACGTTATCTATTTTGTATTTAAGTGATAGAGGTCTTCAATTTTGTAAGGATAAAAATTAAAAAGAGTGTCTTAATAATGAATGTTGCAAGTGAGGAAATAAATAGACATGAAGCATTGAGAAACTAAATTTAGCGTAACTTCGACAACATAATTTTGATATCAAACATACAAAGGTGAATTATTACGTCTGTCACATCAACGTGAAAGAGACAATGCTATAAAAAATTAATGATAAGAATTTAAAGGATAAAAAAAACTATAAGAATAGAGACTAAAAAAATTCATCTTAAACTATAAAAACTAAAAATAATTTTAAAAATATAAGTATAATAATTAATAATATCTATTTTAAACAATAAAGGAGTAAAATTAAAAAAAAATACAGGATAAAAAATTAAAAATATTTTAAAAATAAAAAAGAGGTGTACTTATAATAAAAAGGAGGTGTATATCATGAGCCTCAACCAAAAATTAATAACATACCTAAGCCCATTGGGCTAGGCAAAAAAAAATAGCCTGAACCCATCCCAGTTTCCTTTCTTCAGCTGGCCTTGGAGCACAAAACCATAGTTACCGTTACGAGGTTTCAGCGATGGCGATCTTGCAGAGCGTAGCATTCTACTATGGCTGTGAGTGTCTTCTGCTTTCACTCTCCTATATCATCTTTTATGCACTTAATCCACATCTTCATAACTCAACGATTTCAATGCTTGTTTTGCTCGAATGTGCCTTATTTTTCTAATTGCCTTTCATCTTTTGCAGACCATACCAGTTAATCCCAAGCCTTTTTTTTTAATATCTGTGATTTATCTCTGTAGCTGGCCAACACACAAGAGTACATTGAGGGACAGTTTACTGGAAATTTGGGAGAGATTTTAATCAGGTAACTTGGATATCAACTATTCTATTTGTTAGTGGTTTTTTATTTGCTAACACGGGTTTTTGAATCCAATTCAAACCAGTACATCGGGAAAAATAAAAAAACTGAAAACCAATCAAATCTGTATCAAAAAACCCTAAAACCCTTTTTTTGTTAGTTCGAATCAATTTCATATTTCATTTTTAAAATCGAATCCTACCATATCCCATATATTAGCATTGTTGTTGTTATATTTTCCTACTCCACCCTAATTAAAATCAAGTGACCATCCCAAATAGTTAATGGAACTGACCATAAGAATGAATGCCATAGGATTACTGCTAAAGATGTTTGTGAATCCTTTATGTTGTTTAGTTGTTAAAAGATTGAAATCGCACCATTACTTAAGATAAGCAAACTCTGGTTCTTATACTCAATTATTTTCATCTAGAGAAATGCTTCAAGTCTAGGTCTTTTAAAGACACCCTTTCAAGTCTTTCTTATTAGTTGGAATTGGTTAGAAATCACAAATTTGTATGGGTCCTATTCCTTATTTAATGAGTGAGATCTTGCTATTCCTTTCAAGTCCTTTATGTTTTTTGTAATATTATTTGGGAGGTAGAAGATAGCATGGTATATATGGTCTCTAAATCGTGTTGGTTAAGTTGAAAAGAGTTATTTAAAGATGGATTATATTGCTCAAATGCCAAAACTACTTTTTACATGCAAGTTACACGGTTACACCACCTAAAGATTATTTGGGGTTAAGTATATAATTTAGTGCTCTTATGTGTCACGAATTGTCAATTTGATCCCCATATAAAATCTTATTAGATCAGTCCCTACATGTGTCTACATTATCGGTTTAGTCCATATCATTGTTAATCCCTGTATGCATTTTTAATTTGGTCCCCAAACATGTAACATTTTTAGTTTGGTGTCTACATAATTACATATAAAGACTAAATTATGAGTGTCCTACACATGTAGGGACCAAATTAAGAATGAGTTATATTTATAAGGACCAAATTAAAATTGTTCAAGGGAGCTAAAGGTCAACATATAATGCAACAGGGACTAATGTAATAAATTTTTAAGTAAAAAAATCAAATTGAGAATCCATGACACATATTGGGACTAGATTATATGTTTAATGTATTATTGACAATGCTGATTCATGTCCTGTCTTGTCCCTGTATGTGTTATGTATTTAATTTATTTATTTTTATATTGAAAAGGATTGACATTCTGGTGTTTTTGTATTTCTGAACATGATCAAAATATTCAACAGAGTTTCACAAGAAAACATATGCGTTTCCTCCTTTTAGCCTTCTTTGTATAATTATTTTTTCTGAATAAGATTATTTCATATTGTCACTCTGACCTCCGTTGAGCTTTTAAATACGATAGTTAAGTCTTATTGAATTGTTGGTGTTTCTAGATGTAACAATGTTCTTTACCTTCGAGGAGTACCGGAGGATGAAGAAATCGAAGATGCTGCAGAAGACTAGAGAGTGATAAATGCTGCTAATTGTTATGACATAAACTGAACTCAATTTTTTTTCACCGTTTTTGTATTTTAGTTTAGATTGTTGTTATTTGTAGAGATTCGAATCTATGATGCACTCGCTTGTGAATAGGATAGGGTGCTTATGTTCTAGTTCACGTTCCTTCATGTGCTTCTCTGTAAATCTCCTAATGCATTATGGATTTCAAATATTTCAAATACGGGTGAGATTGAGATGAGCTTTTATAGAAAATGCTTGCAGCTTGATTCGATAATTATGGTTTTTCTTTTAATTTGTGTAGGCAATTTTTCCTTAGAGCATCTCCGGCTCTACTCAATTTGGGTTCTTATTTTACTATTTGTGGGTCCATTATTTCCATGTCAGATTTAAGAACCCTTATTGTATTTTACTCTAAAGTTAAAAATGAACATAAGTTCTTAAATTTATTTTTTGTGAATCTAATATTTTTCTTTTCACTTCTCTTTTTTCCTCTCGGACATATCATGTCTCCCCCTCTTTTGTAACATGAGTTACCCACCAATCCTAATATTGATTGTTTTAGTCTGCAAACCAAGTTCCGTATCACGGTGGATTGGTGGGTAACCAATATTAGGATTCAGGAGTTTTACGTTTAGATTTCATTCCTTCTACAGCTGGAAATTGTGCTTATATAGGCCATGTCCCAAAGGAATGACTACTGCAAATGTTAATCTCATTTTGGATTTTTTTTTTTAATAAGGAGATATAACTTCTTATTTGAATTCTTATAGGAGTAAAGTAGTGTTCTCAGTTGTGAATTCTTGTCTAAGAGGAGAAATGAACCTTGAATTTTGGTTAAAGAGTACAAGTGTTTAATCAAGATTTGGATTTGATGTTTGTTCCTTTAATTACTTAAAATTATTATTAAAAAACCTAAATCATTTAAAAACTTGATTTTTTTATTAAAAAATAGTAATTCACTATTGAATTGATTATTCTTGCCCCTTCTATATAATTGAATTTTTTTGTGATCATTTTATTATATATTTGATCATATATTCTATATAATAATAAAATAAAATATTTTTACAGGGTTATCTAATGATAACATATTATATATGACAAATTTATGATTTTTTTTATAATAGTTACTTTAAAGTTTAAAAATCATTCTTAACATTATATTTAATCGGTTGATAGTGTAATTTTTGCACTTATTAACTACACTATATTTACTTACAGTGTTATGTTAAGATAGTGAGAGACATTTTTGCATATCAAAAATAAATAAATAAATAAATAAATAAAATATATATATATATATATATATATATATATAT